TGGGGACCAACAATTGGTGGGGGGAAGCTATCACTTTTGCACCGTGCCTATGGATTTCCTAGAAGGCATTTTGCTGGCTGCTGGTGTGGAAAGGGCATGGCAGGATGAATGCAATCCTGACCTGGGCCAGGAGACAGGTTTTCTAGGAGTTCAAAAGAAAAGCAAACCAGTAATTTAAATGCTTCTACTTTGTAAGTGCCCATCTTGAAAGGATAGTTTTGATCTATTCGAAGTTTGTCCTAAACAATCCTGTTGAAGCAATGGAACGTTCTTCTATTCATTCTGATAGGGGGAAATCATGACTAACTGCAGCTGAATTGATGCCCAGATTTAGAGCAAGGGTGGCCAATCTGGGGGCCAAATATGGCCTGAAAAATATCTCCATCTGGCCTTTTGTGATCGTACCAAATTTTAATTAAGGTATGGATTAAACATTTCACTGGCATGGGAAAGAGAAAACATATTTTCAGCTTGTGAGAAGCAATCCATCTTGTAATGGCACAATTATGTGTGACTTTTAAATATATATAATCCCTCAGTTATCCTAGAGTTTATATCTATACAACAATGCAGTCATTATTGATCCATGACACCAGTATAATAATGAAGCCCAAATCCTTACCACCCATAAAATGGAGCTTTTAAAAGTTTCTGAATAACAACATATACTAAAGTGTGCTCAGACTGGTATGTAAAGGACAGAGCCAGCCCTGAAAATACAGAAGAACCCATGCTGATTAAACAATTCTGTATGTTGTATATACTTCAAGAAAAACCTGCCCAAGTATGTGAGCATATAATTTGAAATCTTGCCACAATGAGTTTTAATTAAACTCATCAACTCACTGCCTTTCAGTGAAATTTGCAATGCCTGTTAAAGCAAGGTTCCCCAACCCAATGGCCTCCAGGTGTGTTGGAATACAGCACTCATCATCCCTGCCATAATGCTCACAGGGAGTGATGGGAGTTACCCTTACACACATCTGAAGGTCCCAAGGTTCAGGAAGCCCACCTTAAAGAGTTTAATAGCAGAAGCTCATTTTAAAAACTAAAATTGAAGATGCATATTGAAGATGATTGCTTGCTTGCTTTTATTTTTTACATCATCATAAGGTCTTTAGGGGCAAACCAATGGCCCTTTTAAATGTAAAACCTTTTCCTGCAATTTGTCTTGCCTATCCTTTATAGACAAGTATGAAAGTATCTCATTGATTTTTGTCATTCTTGCATTGTTCACTATGTTCAGTCACTCCCTTTGTTGTCAGAAAACTTAATCTATCTGTTGTTGTTCTTTAAATTTTTCCAATGGTATAGAGACAGTTCTTGTTTGAATTTTATTTAAACAAGTCTACAGTGCTTGTTTGAATTTTATTTAAACAAGAAGGAATCTGCAACAAAATGTTGCAGTGTATTTTGTAGCTTCTACCTGGAGTGTTTCACTTCTAAAGGTAAACACTTATCCTAATATCAAAGCCTGCAGGCATAGGCAACTTGCAGCCCTCCAGATGCTTTGGAGTACAATTCCAAAAATCTCTCCCCACTAGCTATGCTGGATAGGGATTGTGTGAGTTGTAGGCTAAAACCTTTCACAGGCCACAAGTTCACCACCCCTGGTAGGGCTGCTTTTCTATACAAGGTTGTTAATATGCAGTATTTATTTATTTATTTGGGATATTTCTAACCCGTCCAATCACTATACATCTCTGAACAGCTTACAACAGATTCAATAAATACAAAAATATAAATATCATAAATACCCCAAACAATAATAAAACAAATAACTCACAACTGAAATAAAACATAATTAAAATCTATTAAACATTAAAATATTGGGTGAATAAAAAGGTCTTGGCCTTGTGCCAAAAAGCATATAATGATGGCATCAGGCAGACTTCTTTAGGGAGCACATTCCATAGTTGAGGCGTCACCACAGAGAAGGCCCTCCTCCAGGTATTCTGTCTCCTAATCTCCTTCAAGGAGGGTTCCCAGAGCAGGGCCTCTGCTGCAGATCTTAAGGGGCAGGAGGGCATGAAGGGAAAAAGATGTTCCTTTAGGTGCCTGCTCCCAAGTCATTTAGGGCTTTATAGGTCATAACCAGCACCTTAAAATGGGCCCAGACTTCAATGGGAAGCCAGTGAAGCTGATGGAGGACCGGGGTTATTTGAGCGTAATGACCAGTCCCTGACAGCAAACTGGCAGCTCTATTTCGCACCATTTGAAATATCTGGACAGTCTTCAAGGGCAGCCCCACGTAGAGTGCGTTACAATAGTCCAACTGAGAGGCTACCAGAGTGCGTGTCACTGTTGCTAGGCAGTGCTCGTCCAGGTAAGGACGCAGCTGATGGATCAGCCAAAGCTGAAGGAAAGCGATCCTGGCCACCACCGTCACCTGGGCTTCCAGGGTCAGTTCCAGGTCGAGGAGCACTCCCAAGCTGCAGACCTTGTCCTTTAGAAGGAGCACAACCCCTTCCAGGACAGAGCTAAAGTCACTTACTTGGAAACCTGAACCACCTACCAAAAGGACCTCTGTCTTATCTGGACTGAGCTTCAGTTTATTGGCCCTCATCCAGCCCATTACCTTGGCCAGGAACTGGTTCAATACAGCCACTGCCTCATCTGGAGTAGATGTAAATGAGAGGTAGAGCTGGGTGTCATCAGCATACTGGTGACTCCGCAGACGAAACCTCCTGATGACCTCCCCCAGTGGTTTCATGTAGATGTTGAATAGCAAGGGAAACAAAATGGAACCCTGCAGCACTCCATGGCAGATTTGCCATGGCATATAGTCATAGTCCCCCAGCACCACCTTCTGGAATTGGCTGGCCAGATAGGAACAGAGCCACTGCCAAGCAGAGCCTCCTACTCCAAACCCGGCCAGCCTATCCAGGAGGATACCATGGTCAATGGTATCAAAAGTCGCTGAGAGGTCCAGGAGATTCAACAGGGATGCACTCCCCCTGTCCTTCTCCCTGCATAGGACATTGTATAGGGTGACCAAGGCAGATTCAGTACTGCAGCCAGGTTTGAAGCCAGACTGAAATGGGTCCAAATAATCAGTTTCATCCAAAAGTGCTTGGAGTTTTCCTGCCACCACCCACTCCAACATCTTGCCCAAAAACGGGATGTTGGCCACCGGTCTATAATTGGCGGCCACCTCTGGGTTCAGGGATGCCTTCTTTAGGACAGGTCTGATCACCACCTCCTTTAAAGGGGCAGGGACCCAGCCCTCCCTCAGTGAGGCGTTCATGACCTCCTGGACCTAGGTACCAATCTCGCATTTGGGTTTAGTGAGTAGCCATGAAGGGCATGGATCAAGGTAGCAGGTGGTAGGACATTCCAGTCCAAGCACCTTGTCCACATCATTAGGCCACATCAACTGAAATTGATCCAACAATGCTGGATGTTATGTTATGTGTCTTAGTACAAATTATGCTCATACAGTCAATCAATGTGAATTTACAAGCAACTTAAATTTACAATTTACAATATTTAATTGATCAATTGATTTTAAAAAGTGTCATTGACTGAAAAGTTGCTCCCTCTTAATAGGCGAGAATATTTTTTTAAGATGTTTTTTCATGCTTGTTTATAAAAACTGGAGAGGGAAGGCACCATTTTAGAAAAAGCTTTTCCCCCTCTTCTAAACTGGTACAATGGCTGTAACAAATATGTACCTCATCTAAAAATGAAGTATGCTTCATCTTGCCTTGGAAATGTAAGTTTTTTCCGAAATGCAAATTTGACGAAGTAATTGAATAATCAATTAAAATCCATAAGATGAATGTTTTTTTTAAAAAAATCTTCAATTATATTGCAGCCCCAAAGATTTTCTAATTTACTGTGCAAGCCCATGCATTTTTACAGAAGGGACAGGCAACCTGATGGCCTCCAGATGTTTTGGGCTGCAGTTCCAAGAATCCCTGACCATAGGCCATTCTGGCTGGAAGTTCTGAACCATAGTACAAATCAGTCAGAGGGTACCTGGGTTCCTATCCATATAAGATGTCACAAAATGCATCATTGCTTCATGCACCTTATTTATTTGCTTTGGCCAGGGCTGGGGGCAAGGGCAGGTGTCACTGGGCATCTTCCAAGACCCCATACTGGGCAGGGCCTCAGGGCAAGAGTTCCCTGACATTGCCCTTCCTCTTCACCTCACAAGCTGCTTGTTCTTCTGCCTCACATCTAGCCCAGACACTGGCGGTGTTGTTGGACATGCTGAGGAGCAGGAGGAGGAGATGCCACCACCCGCGTGCCAGCCAAGCCAGCCAAGGAGGCAGGAGCAGCTGGTGGCAATGGCCGTGATCAGGCAGAGCCCTCGGGGGGGGGGGGGGCGTTCCCCTAAAACCCCAGGAGCCCACACTGGCTTCGGCACAGGAGCAGACTTGTGCCACAGTTGCGAGGCATGGCTTAGCTGGATAACTTCACCTGTTCTCATTGGTTGATATTTGGGGGGGTGGGGGGGGGAATCTTTCTGTGTAATGCTCCTGACCAAAGAGCATCTTTGCTTATGGTACCCGCTAGTACCTTTAATACTCTGGAAGTGTCAAACTTCTAAGGCATTAAAGGTCACTCATCATATATTCCATGGGCAGATTAGGCTAACAAGGAACTTAATGTGCATATAATTTAAAGGACAACAGAAACTAAATAACCAGTTGTGGCCTTGCTTTTATTGAGGTGGTAAGCTTGTTTACAGGTGATGCCGTGGAAGACCGTGGGGCCGAGGGTCTCAGATGGAAGGCTCCTTTGAACCACCCCTTCCCACACACAAAGAAAACTAGATCTCTTGTCACACAGAAAGCCAGAAACCCATTCTTCCTGCTCTTCTAGCTTTCTATGTGCAGGGATTTTTCAAAATTATCCTTATTATGGAAGAGTATTCGATTATACGAGTCCCCACTTGTAGTTTCAAGTGGTAAAACTCAGACACAAGTTTACTGGCCTGCCGAGAGCCAGGCCTTTGGTCTGTCAGTTTAACTGTGGGTGTAATAATTCTCTGCAGGAACACATTTATTTATTTTCAAGATTTATATACCTCTCCATATTCCAGTATAGGTATTTTAGAGTAGAGAACAAATAAAAGAATAAAACATGGCATTAAAAAGAAGATCAATAAAACCATATCAATAAAACTGTGCCTGGTTAGATCAGGAAGGCTTCCTGAAATAAAAGTGTTTTCAGGAGGTGCTATGCCGAAATGGGACCCACCTGACCTCCAGCGACAGAAAGTGTCCCCAAAATGGAGCTGCATATTGAAGGCTCTTCTCCCAGCAGACTCCAGCTGGGCCAAAGGTCCATTCAGAAGCACCATTGATGGCCTGAGAGACTGGGCAGGTCATTAGGGGAGAAGACGCTCTGTCAGGATCCTGGTCCCAAGTCATTTCGGGTGTTACACACTAGCAGCAAAACCTGGAGCTTGGGCCAGTAGCAAGCAGGCAGCCAGTGCAGACCAAGGGATATCACTGAAGTTGCAGTCATGTGGGGCTCCAGCAACAACCATGCCTTCAGACTTGACCCATCAAGGAGAGTGTGCCCTCATCCTGAAAAGGCCGCCTACTGCCTGGACTCAGAAGCCACTCGCCCACTGGGCATCTGTCTTGCCAGGATTCAGCTTCAGTTAGTTTACTGGCCCTCATCCAGGCTCTTGCTGAGTCTAGGCACTGATCCAGGCCTTGCACTGGCTCACCAGATGCTGCAGGGAGAGGGCTGTCATACAGGATTGTGCAGTCTGCAGCATCTGAGGGCAGTTTACTCATGGAGTGTTTTGAATTTGGTATCAATGATTACAGCTGCAGTCCTACACACACGCCAGAGAGTAACTTCCACTGGACTCATTCTGGCTTACTTCTGAACAGACGTGTAAAGGATTGTGCTGTCTCTGTGGCTGTATTTTTATCTTCATTGCTGGCAAGCCATGATGGATATAAGCAGCACATATTTTGCTTATATTAAAAGAATTTTTGATGTAGTGAATTGTAAGAGGAAACTCATGAGCATTCAGTTCAGTCCTACCCATCTTGTCTTCGTATCCTTTACAACAGAAATGGTGTCAGTAGAGTTGGGATGGCCAAAGATTTCAGATTCACACTGTGTGTGTGTGTGCTAAAAAGCCTTCCCTATTCCCGAGGTGGCCCCTTCTCTCTTGGTCATGTGCAGATCAGGCCCCCAAGGCTGCTGCTTTTGCCTTTCAGAAGAATGGCTTGAACTCAGGATGGCCTGCCCACTGTATGGTTTCCATTCCTGGAAGAGAAATATCATCTTCCTCTTTTGTTGTCTTAGAAATGCAGTAAAACAGGAGGCTGAAGAAGATGAGAGAAAGCCAGCTCAGCTCTTTTGTGGAGAGGTCTACAAGTTTTATAGCTGAGTATTATTACAGAGATAGTAGCAGGAACATCAAAGCATCACTTTCAACCTGAAGCCAACACCTTTCGAAGGCCATTCAGAAAAAACCTGCTCCCCTTCCCCACCACCCACTTCCTGGTGAACTGAGCCTGTGCTTGTTTGCTATGATTGGAAAAACATGAACCCAACTGTTGGGCCAACAGTGAGGTCAGGTGGTGCATGCAGACAAGATTGCAGCCAGAACAGTACTTCCTAGAAATAAGAGGGATTTATCAGTATGCTGGGGGAAACCCTGAAGTTTGCAGAAGTAAAAATAAATCTTTTAAAAAACACAGGGGGAGCCCCACTGGACAAAACATTCCACTGAGAACAGAGCATGTGCAGTACCTAAGGAATGTTGTATATCAGTTGGAATGAAGCCCAGGAAATGAGATGGAGCATGATCTCTGGAGGATAGCATGGCTGCCTCACTGTATCTTGAACAGGAGCAATCTTGTTTGGAGGCAAGAATACACTGCAATCTTTTGTTACAAGTCCCTCTTACTGCTTCCTATTTGAGTACCAAAGGACAGCCTTTGATGGCCTTTAAGGCCCTCCCTCTGTCCAGGTCTGCCAGAGGGCCAGGTGAGGCCCTGCTTAGTCCCCAGTGCAAATGCCATCCTGGACAAGGAAGGAGCCATTCAGTGAAAGTTGCCTGTTGAAATGGCCCTGAGTGAAGTCCAGAGCCCAACGCCCAAGGCTGCAACCCTAAATGTGCTTTCTAGGAAAGTGCCCTTTTTAATTCAGTGAAATTTAGGTTGAAAAAAATTTTTTTTTATTTAAATAAAAACGGGTGCAGTCCTATCCATGTTTAGACAGAAGATGGTACTAGGATTCTCAGCACTCCCCAGCCAGCAGGGATGCCTGAGGGTAAGATTTGTTTCTGCCCGAACATGCACAGGAATTCACCCTTACCCAATTTACATGCACATTCAAATCTTCCCTGGTCGTAGTCTTACTGTAGGGAAGACTACAATCAGGGAACCTCTGGTGTGCTTCTCCAGGTACTAAGTATTGCAGTGCAACTTCATGGTCCTTTTAAACTCTACCTACTTACAGTATTTATCCTTGAACCTTATCCTTTTTTATCCTTAAATAAAGAACTGGCAGCCCTTCAAGGAGAGGACTGTCTTCCATAAACTGTGATGCTGAGGTGGAACTTCATTTGTGACTTTCTGCTCTAACTGGCGGGTAGCTCATGGGCTCCCATTCCTAGTCATAGAAAGTTGACATACAAGTCATACAAAGACAATAGGAAAACACAGAGACTGGGACCTGGGAGAGAGAGAGAGAGAAATTGCATTAGCACTAGCAGCACAATTGACCTGTTCCTAGTGAACTGGGGGAGGCATGGTCTTGTCTGGGCTAGCCCAAGTTCTCGGAGTCTCCCAGATACAGAGTCTCTTTGGTACTCATCTCTGTTTATTCCACCCCTGAGTACTTGACTCTTTCTGAATCATCATAGCGCACCTCATGACTTCATGCATGATATAGAACTTCTCCCTTTCATGTAAGACAATAAATTTGCACACATGCACCTGTTCATAATAACTCACATGCATGCCCTGTGTGTCATCATTATTTCTTGAAAACCCTGAAGTTAGCTCCGTTCTGGGTACACAGGTCATGGGTGGTTGGCTTCTGCAGGGATCCTGAACAGTTAGTCCCATTTGTTCCAGCTTCTAAGTGGATCACTGAATTAGGAGACTATAACTAGAGGTGGGTGGCCAGGTTGTCTGTCCCTCAGTTTGGTCCAGAGCCTTGTTGCGGTGGAGATGGCTGGCATGCAGAGGATTTGCATTCTTCTTTGGGTCTTTTGGTCCATCATGTGAATGGCAGAGTCATACATTTCAGTGTGTGTGTGTGTTATGAAAAGCACACTGGTTCCTGAACCACATGTGAAAAGTGATATGTTATGCACTCTAATGGTGTGTACAAATGCACACCTTTTCAATACCCAGGCACATTTCACTGGTATATGCATGTATATGAAGTGTTATACTCAGATAAAAGGAAATGATCCTATCTTTAAAAAGTGTTTAAAGATTGTCATGCATTACCTGGCAGTTAGAGGTCCATTTTCAGATTGCTTGATGTCCTTCTTTTAAAATGGCAAAGCCCTGTAGGATTAGGTGAGAGTTATTTGACAGGTTAATTGTTGCTGGAGGTAAGGCTGTTTTAATCCTGTAACATGGCTAAAAGCAAGTTCAGGGGACACAGTGAATTAGCTCAGAAGAATGTCTAGAGAAATACAATTTTCAGAAATATTGAAGCCATGAGAAAAATTATTTTCCCATTTCCCCCCACAGGAAAATATGGACATTTGTGCGGGTGGGAAGCAATGCTAATTGTTTTATTTGGTTCTGTTTAAGCATTACATTGTTGTTTTAGGACAGTCTCCCACAACTTATTTCCCTCCAGATATTCTGAGTCTTAGGTGCTTTCAGCTTCAGGACCATGGCTGCTAGTCAGGAATGCTGGGCCCTGTAGTCCAAAACATCTGGAGGGCACTAGATGGGGGAGGCTGCTTTTGAAACAAGCATAAATTGGTCGACTCCTATTGTTACAGTGAAAACATTTAATTCAAGGACATTTTATTTATATTCAAAGCATTATATTGAAAAACATTTTCTTCTGTGCTATGAACTCTACCTATATGTTGGTAAACTCAGCATGGCCTGCCCTGGAGCATTCCTAAATGGCTATCAGTAAAAATTGCATTAGATCCATAATTTTCATAAGGAATGGAAGAAATAGCTATCCTGGGAATCTAACACAGAGGATTAAATACATTACCCCCATGGCTTCATTATTTCCAGACATTTTACATCTCTGGACTTATATAAAAAGTGTTCATATTACATCATTTCTAGGACTCATTTTGCCACGAGTAAATATACCTCAGAATAAAAGCTGGGTAACAATATAAACAATTGTCTGAAATTCTAGAAGAAAATATGTCATCACCCAGCAATTATTCCATTTTTCAGGAAGACATAATAATGGGGGGGGGGCATAAAAATGCGCCCCCCCCATCTTAACCACCCCTCCCTCAACCAGAGTAGCAGACCTCTGCAGTGGCTTTGATGCAAAAGGCAAAAACAGTGCGGGAACTCATCGCGGGTTTCCTCCATCCTGGGTGTCCGGAGGCTCCATCTCCTCAGGTAGGGCTTCTTGGCTCCAGCGCAGCGCTGCAGCCAAGGAGGGGTTAATTGCCACCGCCACTGAAAAGAGCCAAAGCGCAGGACTCCAAATAATAGTTTAGTAACCGATCTTCTGAGAAAAAGGAAATGGAGACTCAGTCAGCAAAAAAGCTCTGCGGCTGAGAAGCTGCACTGTAGCTGCACATGGGAGAGGGAATCGCCTCGTTTTCATACTCTGTGAAAGGACTGACCTGACACATGGAGTAAATTTCCGGCTGCCTTTCACTTCAGCTGTTAAAGCTCCCTCTGGCCCTTCAGGGATTGCCAGTTGCTTAGGGAAAGTGTCCAAACCGGCTGCCCTCTCCGCCTGACTGTAATGAGAAACAGCAGCCGCGGCCTGCTCCTGCGTCTGCGCGGGCCGGCTCCGCGCGCAGCGATTGAGGGACGATGCGCTGAATCGCCCTCCACTTGGGACGGGCAGCGCAGAGCCGCGGCGTGCAAGCGGGTCGCGGGCTGCACGTTAGAGCGCAGCTCCAGGGCCAGGAGCAGAAGCAAAGGCTGCCTCTCGCTTCGGCCCTGGAGCCAGCTCAGCACCTGCCCCTGCGCCTGGGGACAGCGTGGCGAGCGCAGCTCCCTTCCCCTTCCTCATCCCCTTGGAAGCTGCCTCAGATTAACCCACGGAGAGGGCCGGCCCTGCCGAGGGCAGAGGAGTCTACTCTAGTTTCCAGTCTGGTCTTTTAGCATTGCAAATGGCGGGATCCGAGCCAGGGACCGTCTTCGTAGCTCTCTCAGAAAGGGTCCGAAGTGGCCTCGCTCTACTTGGGCTTCCCATCTGTAAAAATAAAACTGCAATGAAACAACAACAAAACTATGCATAGGAGAAATATCTGGCATGCAACATTCCTCCAGCGTGGGAGGTGCTAAAAAAATAACATCATTAATTGTGTGCTATGCGTGAGGGAGGTGCTTAGAAATTCCAAACATGGGAAAATAATTTTTTTTCCAACGGTAGTGTAGGAAAAGGAAGGAAATGAATGCACTCTTAATCACTGCCTGACTATGCTGGTGAGTTTCCTGACCCCTTTTCCTGCGTGTTACTCTCCAAGAATTGCAGGAAATTAGGCATCCACTGTGGAAAGAAGCAAAAGAGCCCCCACAACACTTAGTGTAGAAGTTGTAAACAGCTCCACCCAGCAGCCAAACACTTTGCTTCTCCTGAGAAAATGGCCATCCAGATTATTTTGGCAAGAGTTCTCACAGTAGAAATGCCTGCTTCCAGTTCCCACATGGAGCACTCCACTATCTCCAGTTGCTTTAGGCACAGGAATCAGTGACAAGACACACTCACTTCAGGAATGGGCCAGGTGAACACTTTGATGGTTCCGGAATCTAGTATGGGTGGAGATGCTGAGATGGATGATCCTGTCACATACCAGGTGATGGTTTGCCAGAGCATGGACACTTTCTTTGGGTACGGACAATTAGACAATCAGTGAGATGAAAATGGACCAATTATTTTGTAGAACTTTGAAAAAGAACATTTTAAAAATTCTTCTGGTTTTGGGTGTGGCATGCAAGCACCTTTGTTTTCTACTTCAGACCTCAGTTCTGCATTTTTAACCTGCACCCCTGGCTCCCTGTACAGTGATTAATACAGCTCTATCCATACGTGGCATGCCGCATTGAAACATTCACTGGTTTAAACGAAGGTTAACCACATTACTTGGTCGAATGAGCAACTCCCCTGGTTCTGCTGCCCTGGAGCCACCATCTGTTCCCTCCGCTGACCTGCTGCTCCATTTGGTGACTGCTGGCTGGTGGCCGTACATCATTGCACATGCAAAAGATGGCAGTTGGGAATGGAGATCAGGCAGAAGGTGCATGAGGGCTGCCAGTCAGGCCCGAAAAATATCAAGCTGGTATTCAGGCTCAGTACAATCATCATGCTGTATCCCCAGGGTCTCCCACAGGGTGCTCATGGACACGACTATGCCTGCCCACACCTCCCTTGGTGCCCACCAGGTACTCCACAGAATTTCTTAAGATTCCATTAATCTTTTAAAAATATTATATGTTTTAAAGTGGGTGCCTGACATGCTGCAATGTGGGTTAAAAAGAAAGGCTTGATATTTGGTAGCTTCAACTCCCCCTCTGCCTTGTACTTAGATCCTTGGACAAGTTACTTTTCTTTTAGCCTCACAAGGACACCTTCTGGGAAATGTTTGTTTCTGTCGCTGGCTGTGCATCCCCATGGCAAACATTTTATGTGAGCACCCATGGCAGTCACTCGAACTTCCAAACATGGAGTGAGCCCAAAAGGCTGGGGACCAGTGCACTCTCCAGCAGTCTGCTTCCAGTTTCTATCACTGTTGCATGCATTTGTTCATGAGGTGCGGTTCAGTGACACAGCATGGGCAGGTTTGCACAACATGATAAGCACAGGATGGGCTGCAATGTTGTTTGAACCCTGTTGTGCTGTTTCAGCATGGCATATTTGCTTTTCAGAAACCACAATAGGAAACAGCAGCCTTTCTATGGTTTCCAGACTTCACCATGGTTTTTCTGATCATCCAGACCTGTCATTACGGTTTCCATGGTCGTGGTATGCAACTACCACAGAGTCCCTTGGAAAGAATGGCAGCTGTTGCAGGTGCTGCTCCATCCATCCAGTGTGGGATTGAATTTCAGGCACAGTGGCTGATGAGCTACATGCCAACAGTGGGGGGGGGCTGTGCTAGCAGGGTGGAAATCATGCTGATGTAGGGTCAGGCAAATCCAGGCCAAACACACAAACACTATGGAAACCATGCCGTGTGTTTGTTGTGACATGTGAACCCAGCCCATATATTTGATATATAGGCAGTCCCTCAGTTATGAACATCTGAGTTATGAAGAATCTGTACTTATGCCATAAAGCCCATTATTTTTTAATCACTGCAAGAAATGGTCATAACCATAAAAAGAGAAGAAGCAAAAGGGGAGAGGGGGAGGCCTCCATGCCCTGCCCATCCAGAGAGTGAAATCTCCAAAATTTCCTTGCTTCAGTGAGGTGCTAGTGAGTTGGGGATATCTGCAGTTTTCCATTTTCAAAGGGGTCCTGCATCCCTAACCCCCACAAATGTGGAGGGCCAACTATATGTGATATGACTTGCATACAAATTCAATTTAATGACAAATTTCTGTTTTCTCAGGAAGAGTCCTTGTTCATAACCTGGGAACTGACTATATGAAAGGTCCCAGGTTCAGTTCCCATGTCCAGGTAAGTCTTGGAAAAAATCCTTCCTGAAACCCTGGAAAGCCACCACAAGTCAGTGGTGAAAGTGGTGGGCTAGATAAAGCAGCTTCCTAGAGGCAAGGAAGCCCTGCTCAACCAGCAATGTGGAACAGCCCCAGCCCTCTGAAAGCACTAGCAGATTGCTTTCTAGTCTGAGCAGGGGTGGATCTCCATTTGCTGCTGTTCTCTGCCCCACCATGCTGCCGGGTTTCAGACTCCGCTACCCCCACACTTGACACTTTCCCTGTTCCCAGGAGCCTGCCTCCCTGGCTTGCTAAGGAAAAGATCTAACACTGGAGGGGAGTCATGACAAGTGACTGAAGAGGGTTTACAGACTTTATGAATGCTGCACAAATCATTTCAATGCACTGTGTTAAATGCCAAGCTTCACAGTCTTCTTGAGAAATGAGATTTCCAAAAATAAGCTTCCCATCCCTATTTCAAGGACCAATTAGCTTTTCTTTTTCAGGCTTTGGGCAATTCCCTCCAGCATTTACTGTACCTCCATCAGACGGATTTTGACAAACAGCTCATTCAAAATGCTGGCTCTGAAGCAGACGCTACAAACAGGAATCAGTGAAGTTTGTGCAGTGCTACCGTCTTGTGGATTTGCCAGGGAGCATGCAGCACCTGGGCATTTCTACATTTCTGTACACAACAGTATTACACATATAAGCATAAGCCTCTGTTTGAAAGAGCCATGCCTCTGAAAAATAAAGACATACCAAGAGAAATTTTCTAGAACAGGCAATCTCTTGCACTAGTTGTGTATGGAAAGCCTAGTTTTTAAATTTGTGGAAGTCTGCATTGAGCAGAAGATGAAGGTGTGAACCCTGGAACTTTATTTGCATAGTCAGAACACTGTTTGGAAAGTGTTGCATTTGTTAAGATGGTAAAGGGACAAGGGGCTTGATGGAAGCTCCTGCCCTGCAGCCACTGGCTGCAACTTGAGAAAGGAACCAAGCAGCAAATGTCAACTCCATCTGCTTACTCCATGCAGAAACCAGTAAAGAACATGGACAAGGAAGAAGGAAGCCTCTTTGTCCATTTTGTCCAGCCTTCCAGAGCTTTCTGGAAGATTCCACTTGTTGCCTGGAAGGACTTGTCTGAACATGTGGCTGAGTGAATCCAGGAAGGAGTCACTTCCAAATTCAGTTAGAAACTATGTAGTGGTGATGCTTTAATGTTTCAAGGCATGCGAGTGAACAGGAAACAACTAACCCAGTGTGGTGCAGTGGTTAAGAGTGTGGGACTGGGACTTGGGCGATCCTGGTTCTAGCCCAGTCCCACTTTGCCATAAAACTCACCAATTGACTTTAGATCAGTCACAGACTCTTATTCTAACCTACCTCACAGGATGGCTGTTGTGAGAAGAAAAAAGAAAGGAGAACCTCGTAAGCTACCTTGAGTTCTTTGTGGAAGGAAGAAAGGTGAGAAATAAATGAAATGTAATAATTATTGTGCATGAGAAGAAATGGTTCACCTTTCCATAATGTATGCCACCCTTTAATTAATGCAATTCTCAAGATGGTTTACAATGAAAAAGTAGTGATGCCTCTGAAGATCTGAATTAGAATTCAAAGCAAAAGTGAGGAGCAAGTTTTTCCTCAGGTGAAACACTGTTTTTGAGGGAAGACCAAAGAGTTTTGATAAGACTCCTGACATTTGTTAGGAAAGGTGTTGTACATTCCTTGATGCTTGTTACATTTTGGCAAATTTGAGATGTTCTTCCTCAGGCAAAAATCCAAGTGGGAAGCCAAAAGAGTTTTGTTCAAAACTACTGAACTTTCTCAGAGTGGTTCTGCATTATCAATAGAATCTATTTCCAGTCCATTATCACTGTCACATGCATTAATTCATGAGTCTGTTCCATTGTGTTTCCGTATTAATGTGACTTTTAAAAGCCATAAAAATATCTGTATTTGAATAGGTTTCAATAGGCCATAGGAACAGACTTCCCAAAGAGTTCTAGATTCAGCAATATGCACACAGAAAATCTGGATCCTGTGGTGGTCCTTGCAGTAGTGGAAGTGACTTCCATGCGTATAGGGCACTCCATTTTTACTCATCAGCTCTGCACTACTTCCCCGCCCCCATTCCAAACCTTCTCCTGAGGGTTGGGGAATCTTTTTATAAAGTTGGCAGCTTGGATGTGGTAGCTGTGGGAGATGTAGGAATCATGCAAATTCAGGTGCTTCACCTTGTGTGAATGGATGCTCTTCCCACTACTGCAAAACCACTGGATTCAACCGCAATAAGGCTGGACTTTGCCAGTGCATGAAATAGTCCTGAGATGATGACTCAATTCATGCAAGACAAGAAGCCATGTTGGTTTCTAAGCTGAGAACAGCATGTCATGTTGTCTAAATGCAACAGCATGCCTTTTTACCTACTCTGGCTGGGTTGGCAACATGTCAAGTCCTTATACTGTGTGATTCTGGTTATTATCTTGTTTCTTACAGTCTTCTTTGTTCCTCAAAGGAAATATCCAAGACACCTGGAGCAATATCAGGCCAAACACATTCTACTTTTTATTACACATATTACATTCTTAAATAAAAATGCGTCACATAACTTTTTTGCATAGATATCTTACAATATACCAATTTAAAAAAGAATTATGAAACAGACCAGTAACAAAAATAAATCTTCTTCTTCATTAATAATCTTGTAACATTAACATACCACCATCATATAATACAAATAATATTTTTAAATCTTAAGACTTTTGTACAGCCAAAAAAATTGACAAAGTAATATAGCTTAAAAAAATAAAATGTCAACCAAAAAAGGCAGAACTGAGGGCTACAAGTTTGGGTACTTCTGCAATATACTAGAAATACCAGAGAAGGCCTGAGAGAGTGTGACAGAAGGTTCCTCCAAATGCACTTGGCAGACACATTGAGCGAAAGGAAAGCTGTAGTGCAAAATGAAAGTCCTCCGAGCGCTGTTGCTTGTTATATAGGGTTGGTTGGTTGGCTGGCTGTAAGGAATGACCAACTAAAGAAATTATATATGCTTTTAGAATAAGAAATAGGGCATGGGTGGATTTTTTTTTTATCATTAAAGCCAAAATTATGATTACATGTGAAATGTTGGGTGTAGACATTTTCTGATTTCTGACTTGGAGTCTTTTCTCTCATCATTGTCACTATTTAGGGAGGAAAAGATCTCTAAGGCAGGGAAATGTTTTAAGTGAGCAATTTCTCTACCAAACTCCTGGAACTCCCCTACTCTCCCCACCATCTGCTCCAGTTTGGGAAGCAATCAATCCTAGACAAGAGGCAAGTCAAACCACCATTAAAACTCAGTTGCTCCAATCCAGCAAGTGTTTATTCACATTTGGAATCAGATTACATATTCAGAACACACTCACTGTGAGAAGAACCAAAAAAGAAAAACAGTTTTGGGGGCATGGAAACCCTGCATCTAATATACCTAGTTGTATGCAATTCTGGCCCCAATTCAAGAGCAACCCTCTTTCAGTTACAGGGAGAGGGTAATCAAAGCATGGACACCCCCTTCCTCCCTATTGCCTCTGATCTGCATGGCAGGAAAACTGGGCAGGGGGAGCTCCAAGCTTTTCTGCAATTTGCATGTGCAAAAATGTATAGGATGGTGAGCCTTAATTTTGTTGCATGAATACTCAGTCACTGGGACTTCACCAGCACATGTAGCTCTGAGCAAAGCACATGGTTATACTGGTGCTAACTATGCTTCAACATTTTTCTCTTTATTTCACCTGTCTAATAAATCATGTAGGTGGATGACCATAGCCAGCGAACACCACTGAAAATTCTTCCTGGCCATGCCACAATTCAAAAAGCATTACAGCTAACAATGCACAAACTCCCCCTATCTCTTAATGTAGTTGTTCTGAACTTGCTTCAAACAGTCTTGTAACAACCAGTACAAATTAATTTTTGAAAGCTTAGGGAAACTTGAAGCCCTCTTTGCCTCTTCCTATATACTTCCCAAGCAAACATACCCTTAAGAAGCATGGGCCTAGCAGTGGAAACCTCTGGTAGGAAGGAGGGGTGAAGATAGGAGAAAATCATATATTGAATTAATTGGTGCTTTTGAACAAGACCTCAGTATATGGAAGGCCCAAACTCTAGAGGCTGTTTCATTTGATGGACAAGAGTTCCCAACTTTCTCATTCCAACTTCATCACTAATATACATCTATCTGGTTCACTTCGAAGCACTGGCCTTTTAGATTCTGTGCTGAAAAAAAATAATTATACAACAAACAAACAATTCACATCTGCTTGGTCAGCTGTGATGGATGTTTAAGTTCCTAGTACCTGGAGCTAATTTTCAAACATTTAAAACTCAGTCTTCCAGCTTAAGACTTTCCAGACTTTTGCACAGTGGTCAGTGGAAACCCCCATGCATTCCTGAAGGTATAACCATGCTTAAGCACCTTATGGGGCTAAGTCTCTTGCTGGTGTCATGCCTTGCTCTCACTGGAGCACTGCCCTCTCCCAGTGAAAGACAAAGTTGTCTGTTGTATGCACACACACTCTGTCCTCTTGGGGTTCACTTAAACCTGTCACACAACATTTGTAAAGTCATGCTAGATAACCCTCGTGTGGGCCACCAACACATGTGCTGGTCCTGCCCTTCAAAGGCTATGCAAACAGAGGCCATGTGAAGATCCTCCACACAGAGAGACAGGAGTACGCAACTCCTCCATGTGAGGATGAATTCTGGAGAAGCTGCAGATGCGCAAAGCACCTTCTCTTGGCCACTGAAAGCATAGCTGGCAAGGAAAAGATATGGAGGGCACACACATCTGTGGCACATGGTGGGGCAATGCAACATGACCATGCCACCACTTCACACACAATTTTAACTGGAAGAGATAGCTCAAGAGACACTCCTACCCTGTCTGTGGTCAAAGGAAGTGTGCGGAGTTCTGTAGTGTTGAAAAACAAAAACAAAACAAAAAACCCTAAATACCCTGTTTACACAGTGACAACATCTAAGACAAAAGGAAAAGGCTGTATACTTAATAAGTTATGATGCCTCTATTATACATCCTTCAATTCTCTGAAAAAATTTTTTCCACGTCTAGCTAGAGTCTTTTACCTTCTGATGACACATGTTAAAACAATGTAAGTGCAGCTTACTGTTCGTTAGCCAAATTGGTGCAAAGGTGCTCTGTTCTTAGTTTGTGGAGTTGAGAAAAAACAAATGCACAAAAATCATGCAACTCCATGTTGTAGCAAAGCCTAAGTAACAAGCTAGTGTTTCAAATCATTTTCACATTTTGACAGTCAGGGACTAGCAAGCACAGAGCTCAACAACATATGAAAAATGGATATATAACATGCTGTATTTTTACAATGGAAAAATGGGGTTTGAGGTTTAGCTGATCTGGTCAACTGGCCTTCCAACAAACTGTTTACATGTCTTGGCCATAGGCTGTAACAGCTAACATCCATGTATTACAAACACTGAGGATGCAATTCTATGCAAGTTTTAGAGAGAAAAAAGTTCTACGGCTCCAGCCAGCCAATCTGCCTAAAATAGGCATAGAATTGTGTCCTAAGTAACATAAATGTAAAACCTTTTAATTCTTAGGAATGTCTTTCCAGATGGACCTTGCAACCATATATACCATACAGAGTCATCTACCCAGGTAACAATCTTTCACACAGGAATAAAAAATAAATTGGATGTTCCAGGAAACTTTGTGTTGATAGCTGATTCTTACTCAGTGCAACTCAAATGATAAAACAATTTCCCCTTCAAACGGCATTGTTCACCATACTATTTCACTTTCAGGGTATTCCTGTCACCAATTTTTCCTCCCCAGTTTGCAGTCTGCTCGCTCACTGTACCCCGCAATGTGTGCATTCCAGTACGGGCAAAAGCATCCTTATGTAAGGTGACACTATTTCTAAAATCCACTGGGAGCTGCTGGTACCCTCACCAAGACAGAAAGAAATAGGCACTGATAGTTTCTACATCAAGGATAGTTGACACTCCATTTCATCTGAGAGGGTTACATTTAGTATAGGTGTGCATGTGTATTCAGGAACGCAGAGCAGGGGTGTGCAGAACCTGTGGTCTGGTAGCATGCCAAATTTAAACCAACCACCACCACCAATAGCCACATGCAGGGCACTTTTGATTCCTGACTCCAGGAGCATCATTAAAAGGGGTGTTCACTTGCTTGCTCGTTTGCATGTTTGAAGAGCCCACCAGTTTCTGCGTTAAAACAGAAAAATACATTCTTGATATGGGCCTCCTTCCATTCCACTGCCTTTGGGGGGAAAATAATGAAGCATTGTTTTAATCCCATGAAAGAAAGACAAAAGAAATATTTTTAAGAGGGCTGGGAACAAATCTTACAGTTTCTAATGCTATTAGCTATGTTTGGCAGGGAAGACAAGATTCTCAGTGCCTTACCCCCATGTGAATGTGGTTTTTTTAAGTCAGATTTTTCTTTTGAGCCACTTTAACATGGGATCTATCAGAAATTTGCAGCACAAATGATAAAGAAAAAAATGATGCTGAGAATACCATGCAACCAATAGCTAATGGAAATAAACTGGCATACTGAAAATGGGATGCCAAACAGCACGGCTGCTGAAGCAACAGGAACCCTACTTCTGCAGCCACTCACATGGCTCATGGGCTTTGTGTCTTTCTACCAGCATGATTCATGCAGTGCTCCAGCAGCAAGGTGCCCAACTGGAATGCCATGGGTCAGATCTGGCCCCTTCCCTGCTTTGCTGTCTATACTTCCCTGGGCTGGAAAAGATGAGCAGATGCCTCTTCTTTGCCAGCCCTGCTCCTGTTGGGAGAGCAGCATGAAGATCAGCCTCCAGGGCAAAGAAGCTGGCCAGCATAACAGCGGAAAATCATCTCTCTTAAAAATCCAATTTGTACAGGATAATGAAAGCCAAGAGGAGAAAGGACAAGTGTTGAAAGTAAGTTCTGGAAATATGTACAAACTCTTCATGTTCCTCTGGACTTGTAATATGAAAAAGGAAACCTCTAAAAAGCACAAGTCATTGTTGCTATGGCACCATCAGGCATGGACGTCTTTTGGGCTAAAGGCTGGGGAACATGTGGCACTATAGATGCTGCTGGACTCAACCCCCACCATCCTTCACTATTGGCTAGGCTGGCTAGGGCTGATGAAGCCCAACAACATCTGTCCCCCACCCTTGCTCTAAGTGGTCACACTCTGTCTCAAAAGGAAGGGGGGCACATACCTACCACTGCAACCCCAAACAAGCTGACTGGTAGGTTGAATCCCACTGACCTCCACTCCTTTCCTTATACGATTGGCAAGGCTGACTGAGTCCATCACAACTGGCGAAGTGGCTCGCTGGGAAGCACAAGAGTGTCACTGCTGAAGGCTGACCAAGGAAAGCAGGACTGGGCACTGCAGAGTGGTGCTGAAAGCACAAGGCAAAGCTGATGGGCCAGGGTGCTGTTCATGAGTTAACCTTGCACCCTGGCCTGGTGGGAGAGTGCATAGCTGCCTATGAAAGCAGTCGAGCTCATCTTTTCCTTGGTCACTAGGGAACTGTGGTGGCTTCTGCCCCTTGGCTCACCACCTCACTGATGGTAGTTTTATCTTTTCCAGATTTCCCTAGGAGCAACTTCTGCTTATTTTATCTGGTCTTTCTTGCAAATAAGTGTACATTAACATCCCACTAATATGGGGAAGCCATTAGAGACAGGGCCAATATTGGAACAATACAGAGATCCCAACCTACCACTGCAGTGTTTTTGAACCAAGTATATGAAACAGAATTCCTGCTACAACTTGCCTAGAATAAGGTTTTCCAGCCATCTAAGGGGTATTAATGATTTCACATTCTGCTGCGCTTAGATAAGTTAGCAAGACCACAAACAATAGGAGGTAAATCGATATCATTCCTTTTCTTTCCCCAAGCTTCCCACTCCCACCCACTTTTAATAATTTAAAAGACAGGCTTATATTAAATTTGTCACCAACGCCTGTAGATAATCCCTACAAGTTCTAGAGGCAATATGATTTAACAGCATTTCAGGTGATGACATTCATGGATATTACCCAAGGGCTACTATCATGACAAACATGTATGTACTTTACACAGAATGGTACAAGAAATATTTCTTGGACAGCATAGATTTTTCAGTCAACACACTGACTAGATTAGATGTTCAGTCATCTTCCCACAGCTGGTATCTAAAGCTGTCATACAATAGTCAAATACCAAGGTGCAGGGCTATCAAAATGCCCATTGAACCCCTGGGTGGAATAGAAAATATGCAAACACAGATATGGGTAAGTATAAGATTGTCAGCAAACAGTGCTCCAATATTTTCTAAATAATTGATAACCATAAATCTTTGGAATAAAACTTAGGTCTCTCCCTTATTCTTAAATGCCAACATTAATTGCCCTTGTAGAGATGGTTAGATTTTGGTCCATTTCTCATTCCATCGTTAAGGGCCAGACCATGTATTTGCAACACAAATGGCCACTGACAGTCACAGTGTACACAGGAACTCTGATCCAAAAACAAGACAGTTTGGTGAAATCAAAGATGGAAAAAAAAAGCCCAAATGGCTAAGTGCTAAGAATCCCTGTGTCTGTACGTACATTATACAATTTTAGATATTCTATATATATAAAAGAATCCTTTAAGTTTTTGCATCCTAAACATTAATTAGGAAATTACTGAACAGTCAGCAAGTCAAAAAACAGTCAAAAGAAGGGCAGTGAGCTAGTTTAGTGAGTGGAAGAGCAGCAACCAAGGGAGAATCACGTGCTGTCTTATTTCTCAGCATGTCTTGCAGGGATGGTCCCACATCATTGACTATACACAACCATTCCCAACGACTAACTCTCCACCTGCATGAGAGATAGTTTGAAAAGGGAGTCTTTGGAATCAGTGCCAGCTCCAACTAGCTAGAAACAGACATGTATATATAGTGTGTGTGTGTGTGTGTGTGTGTGTGTGTGTGTGTGTGTGTGTGTGTGTACAGAACAGAGAAATAAATTCACTTTGACCTACAACCAAATTATCTACAAGATTCAAAGGTGAGTCTGATGCCTCCATTGATCACTAACTGGTACAACCATTGGTCAAAGTGGACCCATGCACATTATCTTTTTTTTTTTTTTTAGTTTTACTTAAACTTGTCATCTGGAAGGAAGTCAGTGCTCACCAAAAAGCCAATCCCTTTCATTTAACCATTAACATGTTAGAAGAGTGGGAACATTATATCAATGTGATAAATGGGAAAGGAGAATTTAGGTAGCTATTTTCTCTAGAGCAGAGTGTTGCATGGGATTTATCTAGAAAAGGTTCTCACTTTTCCACCAATGATGATCACATTTCTACAGGTCTGCTCAATGCAAAAGTATATCTCTCACAGGTGCTAGACACACAAACAAGTTACCAGACATTTAACTGGGTAAAGGGGCTAGCAAGAACAAGTGACTAGAGCCGCTAACCAATCGTTGTAGGTTGCAACAAGTATGCCCCCACCATGGTGCAGAAGGAAAACCTGAAGTCATGCCTGAGTGGTAGAATCCAAGACAGATATCCAGGTGTGTAAATCAGTTCTGAGGAACACAGGGAAATGGTTCAAAGCTTCCAAGTAAGCTTTCTTTCAAGTTTTCATTAGGCAATTAAATAGGAAGTCTGAACTATGGCAATACGGTGATGCCTCCAAAGATACACTGTGGTGTTGCTCAGGAACTTCACTGGCCAACCACTGTGAAATCACACCAGCAGGTTCCATAGTCCCCTAGTGCACATGGTGTGCAATAACCAAATACCAAAACAAAACAAAACAAAAATCGATATCCTTGATGAAATCTATACCAGTTCAAGCAAGAAAAATGGTAGGTGTGTCCTAGGTGTCACTGCACAGTCTACTGCCAATTAAGGCCATTGGTATTGACTTAAATGGATCTTGACAGCTCTGTTCTATGAACAGCCAGAGCTAGAGCCAATCAAAGTGTTCTTGAGGAGTCTTGATGCAACATTGTACGTAAGGGAGTTTCAAAAACAAAAACGGAACCAAGACATATTAACATTTTGGCTACCAAACTGGGATTTGGTTTTTCTAGGTCATTAGTATTCCCTTCAAACTCTATTTAAAAAAGAAAAGTTAGTGCTACAAATTTGCAACTCCAAATCATGTTCCTCCACCCTCATCAAATTGCACTGAGAAGTTTGTCACTTCTCCTGTTGCTGTCCACCTGAAGGGAATCCTCTTCCATCTGGATTGATTTCCATTGGCAATAAACAGAGAACAAAAATGCGAGAGTCCTGAACAAGCAACTGTGTGTGTCTTACTGACTTCTCCTGCACCCCTTTTCCTCTCACATATCTTCTGCCTTCCAGATGGGCAAGGCATTGAGAACAGATGTACATCATTAAGTATAGTTGGGTGTATGACAGCAATTAGTGCATGTTTTGTGTACAGAGGTTTACATGTGATCAAGTTCTCTTCTCCTGACAGGCAGCAAGAGACAGGCAATTCTGTTCCGCTCCTCTCCCCATGAAGCTTAGGTCTGGCTGCATCTGGGCTACACTGAGCAATCTTGGCTGCTTTAGATGTGTCTCTTCATGTGCAGGGCAAGGTGATCAGACCTTGAAAAACACCTGCAAAAATAAATACAAAGATGAGATCAGGGTTGACTCCCATACAATTGTTCAGACTTTATTTCTTGCCAGATACAAGATCATCAACAGGAAGGATGCTTACAGCTGCATCACACAATTGCAGAATTTTCAACATACCTGGTATACACTGAGCACTCTAGAACTAATAAGCAATGATGAATCTAACTTGCAATACCCTTAATATTTCAGAAGACAATCAGTTTCTAACCCTCATAGTTAACAAAAAAACCCTTTAAAGAGATTTAAATCTATAGACATTGCTTATAGATTTGTACTTCAAATAGATATATCCAGTGAAAGTATCCTAGAAATTACCATCGCCTGGTGCTACTTCCAAATGATGATGTCTCATGCTACTGACTACCAGAACCTGGAGACTGGCAACAATTGTGCAGATCCCTCTTATTGAATCATTCCCTGGCTAGCAGGAAGGTAGAAAAAAGGAAAGTGGAGTCAGGTGCAAAGAACCCACACAGTTGGTCCCAGCATCTCCTAACTAGCTAGCGACATTTTACATGGGCTATAGTACTATTTACCCATACCTTCTGCCAAAATTAAGTTTAAATTAAAGAATGGGCTTCCTTGGGAGGTGATTGAGGCCCCATCAGTGAGGGTGTTCAAGGATAGGCTAGGCATGCACATGGTGAGCATGTCGTGAGCGGAGCCGGCTGGAGCTGAGGGTCTGGGAGGTCCCTTCTGACTCACTCTGTTTCTAGGTTTCTAAGTTTGAGCCTAGCATGGTTTAAAAACCTTGTATCTACAGGCAACAAGCTGACTGTTTAGAAATAAAAGTTGATTAAACTGTTTCCTACCTCCTCTTCCTACATTCTGATCCCTATCATGCAGTAAGAACCCATATATACCAGTTGTACCCCACAATAATGTACAGAACTGAAGGGAGTACTTGTTCTCTCCCCAGCATACTACCCAAATGGGCTCTCAAGAGTTCTATGTGGAAGTTTTACACTGACTCCATATGTGGCTGAACCTGCAGCTTCTATGTGGTTTACATACTCTAATGCATAACTCTTAAGACTTCGTGACCAACAAGTCATCCTCTCACCTTCTTGTTCCCCGCCCCCCATGCTTCAACATTTTGCCTGATGAAGAGGACTGGATGTCTCAAAAGCGTGTCCTAAATGCTGTGCATATTTGGTTGGTCCTAATAAAGGACCACAGAGCCTAATTGGTTTTCAAATTTCTCTTAGAAATATGTGTTGTTGCAGAATGATGGACTAGAAACAAAGCCATGAGAAATTATTAACCAAGCACATTGAGGCGGGAATAAAAACCCTTGAAACTGATTTTGGATTTGAGCCTCTGAAATGGGTGAAGTAAGAAAGAAAGGCAGGTTGCTCACCTGTAACAGTCGTTCTTTGAGTGGCCATCTGTGCAAAGAAAGGACTGCGTGACCAAAGGAGCAATCCTGTCTGGCACACAGATCAAGGCAGTAATGCCTGGCAAATGTGCAAGGGGTAGTTCAAGCAGCCGCCTTGCAAATGTCATGAAGTGGGATGCCAGCAGAGAAGGCAGAGGAAGCTGCAACAGCCCTCGTAGAATGGTCTCTGGGCATGACAGGCAAGTCTAATTTAGAAAGTTGATAGGCCACTTCAATGGTCTGAACAATCCACTTCAAGAGTCTTTGGGACCCGATGGGGGGTCCTTTGTCATGTTCGGAATACTTGATGAAAAGACGTCTGGTATTGCGAAAAGATACCATACGAGACCTGTAGAAGGCAAGGCATCGACGAACGTCAAGGGAATATAGCGAGCACTCCACGGATGTAGGAGGAGTAGGAAAAATGGCTGGTAAGACAATGTCCTGATTGACATGGAAGGGTGTCACGACCTTCGGAAGGAATGCAGGGTCAGTACGCAGAACGACCTTCTCCTTATGAAAAATGAGAGGAGGCTCTATATGAAGCGCGCAAAGTTCACTGCCCCTTCTAGCGGATGTGATAGGAACAAGGAAGGCCATCTTCCATGACAAAAGACGTAGGTCAGTAGTCGCCAAGGGCTCGAAAGGAGGCTTAGTGAGCGCTTGAAGGACAACAGAGGGGCTCCATGTCGGGACGACTGATTTAACCAGTGGCTGGAGATTCTGTAAGCCTCTAAGGAATTGACAAATAAGGACGTTAGAGAATACTGATGAGCCCGCCACCTGGCCACGGTAGTGAGAGATCGCGGTGATGTAAACTTTAATGGATGAGGGTTTGTGATAAGTTTGGTGTAAGGATAATAGAAATTGAAGACTATTCTCAACAGAGTCTGAATGAGCAATAATGTGGTTGGTTTCGGCAAAAGATGTAAAACACTTCCGTTTAGCTGCATACAAATGATGAGTCATGGGTCTTAGTGCAGACTGGAGAATGAACTGAATATCAGGATGTAGGACACTCAAGTCCGATGGAGTATTTGTTGGTATCAAGAAAGGATGAATGGCTGTGTCCGGACACTGCCGGGTCAGTGTCGGGTCTGATGGTACCATCGGTACTGAGGTAGTAGCATGACCTACCAAATGAGTCAGGTGGTCAGATTGATCGAATGAAGGTCCGGGTGCTGTATTGCCCCCTTCTGTTGAGTTATGAGATGAGGTATGAGAGGCAGTTGCTGAAAGGTGTTGGCTGATAGATGGAGAACGGTAGAAAATCGTAATTAATACATAGTCCAAAATCATTTAAAAGGGTGCATGTAGTCCGGATCAAAGACTGAAGCCTTCTCTAGACAAGGAGATGATCAACCTGTCATCAAAGTAAGGGTATACTTGAATTCCCTGAAGGCAAAGGTGTGCACACACTGGGGCCATGCATTTGGTGAAGACTTGTGGAGCAGTAGCCAGTCCAAAGGGTAAAACGTTGTATTCAAATAGGTCAGAACCGACCGTAAACTGAAGAAGTCGCCTGTGAGACAGGTGGATGCTAATATGGAAATAAGCAACTTTTAAATCGAAGTAAGCAAACCAATCATCTCTCCTGAGCAATGGAAGGATGTTTTGAAGGGTGATCATCTGGAACTTTTTAGTTTTGATAAACTTATTGACATCACGTAAGTCCAATACTGGGCGAAGACCACCGTCCCTTTTCGGGATCATAAAATATCTCCAGTAGAAACCGTGTAGCCCCTTGGAGCATGAGAGGTGTCGAATCGCTCCTTTATGAAGAAGTTGTTGAACTTCATCTTTGAGAAATGACGACGGAGATGTATTTCGGATCAGTCCTGATGGGGGTACGGTATCAAACTCGATTCTGGACCTGTGCTCCACAATGGATAAAACCCACTGATCAGATGTGATGGACTCCCAGATGGGGAGTCGACTTTGCAATCGCCAGAAGGAAGAGGGGAGAAGGAAGAGGGGAGGGTGGGTTCAGGAGAGGAGAAAAGGTTTGCTCAGCCTGTCAACGCTGGGGCTTATCAGAATCTGGGTGGCGATGGCTCTGCTGATAACATTGCGCCGGTTGTTTTTGACACTGCTGATGAGGCTGGAACTGCTGCCAGCCAGAGAACTGAGTGTATGGTTGATATCGGTAGGAGGAATGGGACCACTTACACCTGGATTGGTTAGGAACTTCCATACGCCGAGCTGTCACATGGGATTCATAGATGGTCTTGAGCTTGTGGTCCGTCCTGGCGTTGAACAGCCTCAAGCCATTGAAGGACATGTTCTCTATCCGGCGCTTGGTCTCATCTGGAAAATTGTAGTTCCGGAGCCAGGCATGGGGACGGAGGGCTACAGCACCAATGAGGGCCCTCAAGTCACAACTGACATGATGTCTCACCGTACAGAGCTGTTGAATCGCCACCTGCATCACCTCCTTGGTGAAGATGCCAGCCAGGTCCCTCTGTTGCTCCAGGAGCTACGTTGTAATATTCTCCAGTTTTTGCATGAGGAAATACTGATAGCGAGCCAGCGTCACCTCATAATTGGAGATCTGGAGCCCAAGACCTGTGGCGGTGTAAATACGGTGGACCATCATGTCGCTCTTTTGCCCTTCCTTGTTGCATGAAGTCTCTTGACTCAGGACCCTGGGACGACTCTACGACAATCAAGTTTGGCCTCGGGTGACACAGGAGTAATGGAATGTCCTGTTCTCAAACTCGACACATAGATTTGTGTTGCTGTGAAGTCAGCTGAGGCTGGTTGGGGAAGTTTCATGGTTCCATCATCGCCTCATGGAGCATCGTGATGAGTGGCAAAATGATGGCGGTGGATTGTACTCGCTTCACGATGTTACAGAACTTGTCAGCACCAGGATCAAAGTGGTGCTAGGCTTCAATCTCCAGTGATCTAACCAATCTCGCCATCAGTTCCCCAAATGTCAAACACAACTCCTTGGGACCCTGTGTGGTGATCACGGCATCCGGTGAGGTGGATGCTACATCCGAATCCTCTGACTCCGAATCGTAATGGAGCGAAGGACTGGAGGAGGAGTCAGCCGGCGAGGAAGGGCGCCTGGTCTGAACTGCCGCAGATGTCGATGGAGCATCCCTCAGGATCGGAGACAGTGTACACTGGCGTACCGATGGATAATATCTATATGGTGCATAGTTGTCCCATGGTTCACAATGGGCAGATCCATGCAGTGCTTGCACCTATTCTTTGGAGGGACGGACGGAAGCATGCTGCTGGTGCCGCACCTACTGAGGTGGGGCTCTTGGATAAGCCTCAAGGCGAAGGCTGCAGAGTAGGTGAGCATGCCATCGGAAAAGCCATCTGCGGAGAATTCTGGATCTCTCCATCGGAAATCGATCCCAGTATGGCTGCCTCCTGACGATCTGGTGAGGACAAGACAGAAGGAGCAACCCATTGCAGGGACCCTGGCAGGGTCACCTGCATCGCCAGTTGGAGAGCCAGTCCAGTTGGTGTTGGTACAGAAGCAGCTGCTGGGACCGACGGGCCAGACGAACCCGAATCACGATGACAGGGCTGGTCAGCCTTCTTGGTCTTATGAGCCGTCTTGTCCGTCTTAGGCTTCTTATGG